CTTCCGTCTAACCGTGCAGCCCCTAATTTGCAGACCCACGGCCCCTTTGGGATGCCGCCATGGCACAGGCGTAAAGGACACCGAGCGAGGGTGAGGCCCGACGGAACCAGGCGCAGAACACAGGGAGAACTAGAGGCAAGAGCTGAGAGGCAGGCACAAAGAGCAGCGGTGACCCCTCCTCCTCCTCTCGCTCATGCTTCAAGAAGAAGGCCTCCTTCTCCACCGCCGCCCAGCAGGAAGTGTGCCAGAGCAGACCCAGAGGCCGTAGAGGTTGTAGAGGTTGTTGACGTGGAGGACGTTGAAGAGGAACCAACTTCGGCGCCCGCAGTGGTACCGCGATCCTCTGAAGGTTCCCGGTCTCCACCCACCGCCAAGTGGTGGCCAAGGTCACGAGCTGCGGCGCCCGACAGGGTACCGGGCCCCTCGTCGAGAGACAGTCGGTCACGGCCCTCTTCGTCTTCGTCCGGGATGGCTCCCTTGGCGACAAGATGTCCTCGGGAGGCGCCGCGAACTCCGGTTTATGGCGAGCGTCGGCGCCGTATCAGTGGGATACTTAGTTGCATCCTGCGCCACGACGCCGTCCGTCTCCGCGTCCCCATCCTGGGTGACGGCACCTGTGATCTGCGCACGCTGGTCCAGGCAAGGGACTTGCGCCAGCTCGGCGTTACCGAAGGCGAAGTTCTTTATGTGGTCGACACCGACAGGAAGGGCAGGTTTGAAGAGATCCAGTACCCCTCTAAACCCCGAATAAGAGCAGTGCAGGGCCACAATCGACAAGTCCAGGCCAGGCTGGATGATACCCGTATGTATGAGACTCTGACGGCTCGCTCGGTGGTGGGTCTCACAGCCTTTCACGGGACACGCCGTGACCGGCTGGCGGAGATCATGAACAGCGGTCTCCAGGCAGGCGGCCCCCGCGGGGACCGGGCCCACATCCACATGGCCACGAGCATGGATGGGGTTAGAGCAGACTCGGAGGTGGTGCTGGTCATGAACCCCGAAATCCTCCTGGCAGCCGGCCTCACGCTCTTCCGTTCACGCAATGGCTACCTGCTGACGCCAGATGCCATCGCCCCTGAGCATATCCAGCGCGTCATCCGCTGCAAAAGCATCCAGCAAGGGACACATGCGCAAACCCGTGCATGCAGTGACACCTCATCTTGTCTGTCAGTACAGCTTTACTCATTTGCTGCCCAGGCTGCTTCCTGCTCTCGGCGCCCGTCTGGGTACCGTCATAGGTCGTGGGCTCGGCACGGAGCAAACGGCAGACTGTATCTGAGTAGGGTGTGGAAGTTCAGATACGTGCCAGCTCCTTTCCGTCGGAGGTGGCATCGACTCACCAGGGCCAGGGTGAGGCGCGCCCTTCTGTCTGTGCAGGGCTTGCAAGTTAGACTGCTAGGTAGTTGCGGAGCAGCCGTTTCATGCCTGCATGCCCGCCGACTTGCGCAGATGGACCAAGATAGAGGTAACTACTGGAGGCCCCACGGGGGACCCCGAAACCGCTATAGGGAGGATGGGACTCGGCGCCGCTCGGCGGGGGAGCTGGCCAAGCGGGCGACCAGAGCTGCTGAGAAGGCAGCACAGACGGCCCCCACTCAGGGGACCGCTGCAGCCGAGCCCGCTGCAGCGGCTGCAGCGTCTTCAACTGTGCCGCCGGCTACGCAGCAGCGGGTGGAGGCATCTTCTGGCAAGCAAGCCCCAGTGGTATCTGCCATGTCTGCCAACGCACCAGCTTTTTACCCTAAGATGACGCAAGCGGCCCCTTTCCTGGGAGCCGGAGTTCAGACTTCCCAGCAGGTGCCTCCGATGGCTCCGTCACCTGTGCAACAGTCTGGGCATGGTGCCAAAGCTGCCATCACATGCTGCCCCACTCACACAGCCGACCAGGGGGCTTCCAACGCGCAGGCTTCGGTGTCTTCCACGCCCACACCTTTGCCAGGACCCCCCCAACAGCCTCTCACCAAGGATGTCTCTGGAGGCGCCACAGAACAGCAACATTCCACTGCGTCCCCCCAGAGGGTCGACGGATGGGCCCAGGCGACGCTCGACGCAGACGGTGCCGCCGCCGCCCCCGCCGCCTCCAAAAAGACACAGGTCAGTGCCGGCGCCAGTCCTGATACCCGCGGTTGCTTTTACAGCCACAGAATCCGAATGTGTTCGAATCTGGGGTATCTTCGACTCTGTCAGAGAGATTTCCCATCGTCTTAAAGCTGCCGGGCATGCTGAGCGGTATCGGGCCTTCTTGGCCAAAGGCCACTACCGCAAGTACCACTCAGCCTTTCACAACTCTCCGGCCACCTCGGGTGTGCCGCGCGTGGGCAACTGGTGCGTGGGTGCTGCGGCGACCTGTCTGCTTCCCGAGGTCCACGTCTTTTTCCCAGGAGACCAGCCGGAAGCTGTGGGAGACGCGACAGAGGCGTGGTTTGGCCGGGAATGTGGTGCGACGCTCCCTCATGAGCCTCTCCAACTTCCACCTCCTGAAGTGGGTCTCGAAGCCTCCCGATATGAGTGGAAGCAGGACTTCTGTGCGCTGCTCAACCTGACCCACTCTCTCCACGAAGGTATTCCGACAGGCCTGTATAGGAAGCTTCACTGGTGGGACTCCTTAGCAAATAGGGAACTAGCCTTTGCCCAGTTTTTTCCGCGCCCGAGTGGGCTGACGGCCCCCCAAGGGGACCGAGGCGCAGCTGCAGAGCCACTGCGGCCAGGGCGTCGTCACTTTCTCACGCCTGACTCAGACACATCAGCTTCAGTGGCATTTTACGAGATGTGCTGTAGGCAGTTGCTTCGGTTAAAGCTGCGAGTCACACTCGTAAGTTCCTCAAGCCTCTGTCAGGTACGTGGACTGTTTTCGCGGAATCAGGCATGGTGGCTCTGGCCTTGGTTGCTCGCTCTCATGTTCAAGCACTTTCTCAAAGTTAACTTCAGCTGTGTCAGTTATGCAATGTGCCAACGCACGTCGAGCCGTCCCGGTCCCAAGTCCGGGGCTAGACACACCTATGTGTTTCTTCTCGTGATTTTCTCGACCTTGGTGGTGTCTAGTGGTGTGAGGGTTGGTGGTCAGGGTACCTCCCCGCCACCCGGAGGGGCTGGTGCTCCAGGTCTCTCTGTTAACAAGGCTGTCCCGAAGCCTAGAGGTAGGAATGTTCCTGACTTGCTGGCTTCCCCCTACCTTCAAAACTGCAAAACGAGCCTTCCAGAGGGCTCTGCGTCGAGCGCAACTTCATGGTACCACCATGTATCGCGGCCGTTGTCGTACTTTACAGGAACTGGGTGGCCGTCCGGGAGCTGTGTTCACCTCCAAGGGTCTGCCAGGTTCTTCAACTGCTGCTCCCTCCCGCTCCCCCTATGCGAAGCATGGCCCCCGACTTACCGTGCTTACGCTCAATGTGGGCGGTCTCTCGCAGGACGCGTGGGACGAAGTGCAGATCTGGATACATGACCAATGCACTCAGGACATCATCCTCCTGCAAGAAACACATTGGTCACACAGCAATATGTTCTTTCTCCCTCGCTACATTGTGATCCATTCGGGTACTGCTGGCCATCGTCATCAGGGGTGTGCGATCTTACTATCTAAGCAACGATTCACACCCTCCGGAGTGCGGTGGGCGCCCATAGTTCCGGGCCACCTCCTTCACGCGCGGGCCTCTCTGGGAACAAAGCCGGTGGACGTAGTATGTTTGTATCAGCACTGCTGGAGTCACAACGGGGATACTGCCTCGCTTCTGCAACGAAGGGAGCGTCTCTGGGTACAGCTGGACAAACTTCTCGGAGGAGTTCCGCGGCGAAACGTGTTGGTGTTGGGCGGGGATTTCAATGTCGGCGGCCGTATGGATGGTCAAGTGTTCGGCCCAGGCACTAAATCTGCCAGAGCGCCCCCTCCCGACCAGCCACTCTTTCAGAGTCTGTTGCAGACTCACTCCCTGCAAGCAATCAACACTTGGAAGAGTGGCTTACGTGCCTTTACCTTTCAGAATGGAGAAACGTTCACTCAAATTGACTTTCTGATTGGCCGTGCGCGTCAGGTTGATGATATGGCTCGTGGCGCTGAGTCGGACCACAACTGTCCTGTCTTGAAGTGGCGGTACGGCCCTCTGCACCACCCGGTCTATGGGTCGTTTCCTGCCTGCTGGTATGCCACTGCGCCGGCCACTCCCAGTGTGCCGAAACAGGCAAAGCTTAGCCTTGCCCAAACTCCTGAAGCCATTCGAGCCTTCCGCGAAAAACTGGCGCTTGCGTTGCCGAACGCTGAAACGCCGCAGGAGCTTAACGACTGTCTTCAAGAAGCGGCGACGCCTCTGATGGTCGAAGAGCCTCGCCCTCCTCTCTCGCATCTTCCACAGGTGCGCGGCTTAGTGGGAGCAATGTGGGAGGCACGGCGTCGTGCTCTCGAGGTTTCTTGGTCGACTGGTCTTTCAGTGCTTCCTCTGAGCCTGTCAAATATTTGGGACGTGGTGGTGCGACTACACTTCACAGCCCGCGTCAGAATACAGCTGCGCAGTGTCTGGCAGGGCTGGTGCTCGGCTGCGAGATATCTTGCCCTGCACAGGGCGCTGCGAAAGACCAGTCGTAAGGCGAGGCGGCAAGTGATGGACGACCGCATCTCCGCTGCGGCTCAGGCAGAACAACAAGGGGACCGCTCCGCTCTTTTTGCGGTCGTTCGAACGTTCATGCCCAAACAACCGCGGATGCGGACCCAGCTTCGGGGTCCGGAAGGCGAGTTGCTCTCCTCTGCAGCTGAAGCAGATGCATATGAGGCATACTGTCGTACGGTGTATGCTCCTGCTCTCTCTGCGCGGGAAGAGCTCCCACCGCTGGCACCGCCAGCTGAAAACACTGCGCCGCCCGTGTCCCTAACCCTGGAACACGTCCTCCAGGCTCTCCGGTCTTTCTCCGCGCGAAAAGCATTTCCCGTCATCTGGCTCCCATCCTGCTCTGGAAACTCGGTGCTGATCTTGTTGGCCCTCACCTCCATCGGCTCTACTTGCAGGCCAGGCCTCCAGCGGCTGTTTTCCCCCCGCTTTGGGCCGACTCCTGGCTGACTTGGTTGCCTAAGCAGGGGAAGACGGGTACCACCCCAGCGGAGCAACGCCCCATATCCCTGACGGATTGCGGGGGGAAGGCGGTCACCAAGGCGTTCACCTCCCAACTCCAGCCCACTCTTCGGGAGGCGTTGGCTCCGTGGCCGCAATTTGCTTATCTCGGTGGTCGATGCATTGAGCACGCCGTCGCCAGAGTAACGGCCCACTGTGTGGCAGTTCGGGATCGTCTTGCTTCCGGAAGAGTGACCCTGAAACAGCGCAGGGCCGGCAGTGGCCCACAGGGCCAATGTTATGGGGGAGTTATGGTTAGTGTTGACTGCTCCAAGGCCTTCGACACGGTCGATAGACAGGTCCTTAAATCGGAGCTGTGCAGCGCAGGAGTCCACCCTGAGGACGTTGACTTCATAATGCGCATGCACACGGCCATCTCCTATCACCCTGTGCCCAAGGATCCCCGCCGCGCGGTTCACAGCAAACGGGGTGTTAGGCAAGGCTGCGCTTTAGCTCCATCTTTATGGTCGCTCATCACCGTTGCCTTACTGCGTGCCCTCGCGGAGAAATGCGGCACCCAATGGGTCACCGACCTTGTCACTATGTATGCGGACGATCTCCTGGAAACCTGGGAGGTGTACACCAGAAAGGACCTGGATCTGCTCATGCAGGCTGTCAGTCAGAGCTTTCAGCTGCTGGAAGCGCTCGGACTGCAAGTCCAGCCACAGAAGACCAAAGTGGTCCTCGCGCTTAGGGGAAGGCAAGCGCGCCTTTGGATACGTCGACACACCTTGGACACCCCCGATGGCAGAGTCCTTCTTATCCCGGCCCCCAACGGGAAGCCGCACCATCTGCCAATTGTGTCCTCCATCAAGTACCTGGGGGTAGTTCTCAGTTATGGCGACTTTGAGGGCGCCACGCTGACACATCGCCTGTCCTGCGCAGAAGCAAATCGCTCTCGTATTCTCCGTATCCTTCACTCCCGATCGGTTAGCTTGCGGCGTAGAGTTCAGCTGTGGCGGGCGTGCGTCTTCTCCTCAGCCGTGTATGGCCTGCACGTTGTTGGCCTTCGGCCCAAGCATCTCCGCAGGCTGACCGTTGCTCTGGTCAGACACCTTCGGGCAATCGCTGGCAGTTTCGCGCACATCCACCACGAAGCTAGTAGAGCTCTCCTTGACAGACTCGGCGTGGCGGACCCCCTGGAGGCGATCCGGCAGAGGAACCAAACTCTAGTCGAATCTAGCTGGAGTACCAAAGACCCGCAGGTCTCTCATCCCAGGGTTCTAGGTCGACTCCGAGTGGTAAATGAAGCCCTGACCCGACTCTCAAGTTCGCTTCGGGCCCAAACTGAGGCTGTTCAAGGCGAGCTCGTCGATCAGGTGCTGCCCTCTCCGCCACAATCTCGAGAGGGAGCTCCGTGGGGTCAGCTGGTACACAGCTCGGGCGGGCTTAAGGAAGCTCTCTTCCACTGCTGGCATTGCGACCTGTGCTTCGCAGAATTGGCTGCCTTGAAGCGTCATCTGCAAGATGCCCATGATGCTCACACCCTGCCGGTATCCTCGGAAACGGGTTTTCGGGAACATAGTGTGGGAGGGATGCCGGTCTGTGCACATTGTCAAGCGGATCTGGTGTCATGGAATAATTTCAAGCGCCACCACCGCTACAGACACTGTCCAGTGCTGTGGCTGCGGACCCAACAGTCTCAAGATGTCTCCCCTCCTCAGGACGATCCTCCCCCCGTCCCTCCTGTCCCGATGGAGTCATCCACTCTTTCTGCTCCTCAGGCTTGGATTCCTCTCGCAGACTGGCCACAGCTCCGCGACGCCCCCATGAGTCAATGGCTTGAGATCTTCCGAATTCCCTCGGCAGCTCAGATCTTACGTGAGGGCTGTGCCCAATGTGGGCAATGGCTGGTCAGTGTAAAAAGCATCAAACTTCACTATAAGCATGTGCACCCAGACATTTACGCCGCATGGGCCAAACCGGCTGCTGCTGATTGTAGGAGATTTGGACGGGTGCTCTCGCCGTGCCCGCACTGTCACCAGTCGATCACACGCACTGATATTCACTGTAGCACTTGTCCGGCTCTGTGGCAGGCGAGACTAGTTAGCTATGTCCGAGGAAGAACTCATCGACCAGGAAATGGCGGAGGTGTTCGGCAAGCGGCCCCATGCAGGGAAGCCGGGGCAGGAACGTCCCCCCAAATCTCGGATGCCGTGGGGAACGGGCCGCCAATCCAGGGGGAAGGGCACAGGAAAGGGCAACTCAAGCAGCGGAGGCTCTCTTTCGCGCCCCAGAGAGGAGAACGCAGTCCGCGACAGGGAGGAGATGACGCTCCGGATGGGGCAACTGCTGCTGCGACACACGGACTACCTAGCCCGCCTGCGCTCGGACCACACGGTCATCATCACATACCGCAACGACGACACCCCGGAATGCCTCCTGCCCGCCCTCCTAGAGAAGGCCGAGACCTGGCGCCGGCTGAAGCTCGAGAAGTCGCCCAACCTCACTCGGACACTTCGGCAAACGCTCCTTCTCTACACGCTTCAGGAACTCCGGGAGAGAGCTATGATGCTGGAGACCTCTGCAGCACAGGCGCAGGCAGATCGCACCCGCTTCACGGAACTGCGCTGGATGACGGCAGAGGGTCATTGGAACCACTTGGTCTACGACCCGAGCGAGGAGATCATGGTGTGGTGGACCCCCAAAAGCGGCCTCGACCGAGAGCCGAGGTCCTCAAGGAGCTGGAGCGTCTCATCATCATCTTCAAGACGCCGGAACTGATCCTCAAGTACGACTCCTTTCGCCCTCTCAAGGGCAAGTTGGAGGGTCCGCTCATGACGTTCCAGCTGGAGCTGTCTCTGCAGAGCCCGGTGGCGCACGAAGCCATGCAGATTTTGAGGGGGTGGTTTGGACTGTCCCACATGCTGCTCATGGGCGCCCGCATCAAGCCGGAGCGAGCAATCCGGCCACATTTGGCACAGGCTCTACAGCAAGCTCTGTTCGGATGAACGGCCCCGCCATGGGTGCCGGAGCCCCTTCGGGGCGCTCAGGAGCCCCTGCCTTGGAGGGTCTGCTGACACTCAAACTTCTAAATCCCTCTAGCCTGTGTTATATGAATGCGGCTGCATTTCTGCTGGCCTTCACACTTCGAGTTTCCTCGCTCGTCACAAGCAGCTCGAGTGGTTTGGGTCTTGTGGTGAATTACTTGTGTCGGGGTCATAGACGGGTTGTTGATTTACGCCAGTTTATGGCCTGGCAAGCGTTGCTAGTAGGATGGGGCCAGGTTGTAGGAGATCGTGCCTCCCAACAAGATTGTGCGGAGTTCCTGGGCCATCTACTTAGACGAGGGGGGCCCCCCGCAGCGCAAGGCGAGTGGCAAGCTCGCACCGTCCCTGAAACGGCCCAGCCGGCGCCGGTGCGGGACTCAGGTCAGGGCATTCTTTACCTTGAACTGCCTGACAGTGCCACAACCCTCCAAGACTGCATAACGCACTGGCATGCACAGCATGATCCACTGGTCTGCCCACACGCTCTGGTGAGGGCCACGCCTCTCGTGTACCTCTGCCTGGGCAGGTATCGTGAGCGCAGCGATGGGGAGGGAAATCACCGGACGTTGAAGGCCCAACATCGCATTCAGTGTACGCCGCACGCTGAGCTTGTCATTCCTGTGTTCCAGGGGAGCTCAACCTCGGTGACAATGAGCAGATACCGCCTGCTGGCGGGTGTGTATCATCTTGGAGACACAGTCAACAGGGGACACTACCGTAGTTTCATGGCGAGCGGGGATTTCGCCTCTGCAACGGCCCCTCACGGGAGTCCGACCTGGTGGTGTACTGAGGACAGCCAGCCGGCCGCTAGATGCAGCTCAAAGCAGTTGAGAGTTTTGGAGCAGAACTGTTATGTTCTTTGTCTTCAGCTTTGCTAGGGTAGGTGGAGTATGCTGCAAAGTCGTCCCTGCCTGCTGGTAGTGTCGCTACGGGGCAGGGTTTGGGACGTACTGCGGGCATTTTAGTGCGAGTACGGAGATGTCACAGTACAGCCAACTGGGCCGGACTTTTCATCGGGTCTGTCTCCCTTTCCGCGCTAGGTACTCGACAGAGTGCTGCGATTTCAAAGTCAAAAGTCTGTCTCTCTCTCTCTCTCTCTCTCTCTCTCTCTCTCTCTCTCTCTCTCTCTCTCTCTCTCTCTCTCTCTCTCTGTCTCTCTCTCTGTTCTCTTCGCCTTCCCCTGTCAGTTCCCTTACTTCGCCTTTGATCCGTTTCTCCTTTGTCAGTGTCTTCGCGTCTCTTTACTTTTATAGTGGTTTGCTTCTCATCTTTTTTGTTTTCCTCTGCCTCCTTTCTTCCTCCCTTATCATTACTGAGTTGGAGGAGAGAGGAGGAGAGATGAGGAGAGAAGAGGAGAGAGGAGGAGAGAAGAGGAGGACAGAGGAGGAGACAGGAGGAGAGAGAGGAGGAGAGAGCTGTCCGTTCTTTTTTCTCAAGAGGTAGGAGGACAAAAAGGAGAAGAAGAAGAATCAGAAGAAGAAGAAGAAGAAGGAGGGAAAACGAAATTTGCAGACAAACTCTTCTCCTCCCGCTCCTGACTTGCTTCCTGCCTCACCTCTTCCACTCTTTGCTCTGGTTCCCAATTATTGTTTTGTCAAAGTGGTGGAAGGGAGGTGCTCTTAACACTTAAAAAGGGATAGTGGAAGGGTGGTAAAACAACAAGATTTCATGTGTGATTTTTGCATCCAGAAGAGATACAAGGTTTAAGTCGGAGTGAGCAGGACAAATCCAGTCACATGGCAAGGGAGAGCGACTTAGGAAAGCATTTCTGCTTCGGCTGCCCGAGGCCAGATAGTCACACATCAAGATATTTGTTAATGTTAAGAGAAAGAAGAACTTTCATTTGTCTGTGGAAAGGTGGTTGTTTGTCTCTGGGTAAGAATGGCTATCGAGAACCTCTTGTTCTTCTGAAAAACAGAAACTAGTTCATCTCCATTAAAATAGGAAGGGCTACTTCTTTCTAAGAATAATAGACGGAGATTCGTTTTCATAACAAGAAAAGAGAAGCTGTCCCATTTAGGAAGGAGGAGGTTTTTCTGTTCTTACAAAACATAGAACATTCTGATAAACAAATACATTATAGCATTATATATTCGCCGAGAAGGGAACCTCTCTCTCAGTCCGTTCTGGAAAAGGGAGAGAATGAGAGGAAAAGAGAAGAAAAACAAAAGAGGGAGAGGTGGAGTCTTAGACCTTTAGTGGGTGGAAGGTTTATTGGTATTTGAGTTTTATTGGGAAAGCAAGGCAAAACCTCACATTGCACCTAAAGGTCCATGCCACCCAGTTCCTAAACATTTTGGTATATAAACCTCTATTTCCTCTCTAGTTCAAAAGGAATGCCTCTATAGTTTAAGGCAGGCCACTATTTCCTTTTCTCTGCTTGAGTCTTCTTTTGGCCGATTTTCCTAGGAAAACCTCAATTTCCTCTTTTCTTCAAAAGGGAAACCTCTCTATTTCAAGAGGAAAACCTCTACTTTTTTGCGATTTGAAGAGGAAAAATCTCTTGTATCTGGAAGCCACTCTTTTCTCCATATTTCAACTAATTCCTCTATATATATATATGTATATATATGCTACCCCCCCCCCCCCCTGGGTTATCCACGCTTTTTGTGGTTATCCACGCATTTTGTGGTTGTGCAGAGCCAATTTAAATCGTTCACGGCCGCGGTGACCCTGTGAAAAATGCCACCCCCCCCCCCCCCCCCCCCCCCCCAATAACCCAATCCTCTACATAACGTAAATGTATGCAATCCTTGAGATGTTGAGTCCTTTCCATCTGTCCAAACACTGGGCACAGCGACCTCCTCCCCTCCCTTCCGCTCCGCTGCGCTCCCTGGCTTTTGTAAATGCTTTTTCTTTTCAGGGCTTGTCTCTAAAACCCTTTCGGTAAAGGTTTAAGTCTTATAAAAAGAGACGCCCCGAAACCCTATAGGGTTTAAGGCTTAAAGCCGATAGGATTTAGGGTTAAACCTGAAACCGGAACCTTTAGATCCATAGGGTTTCAAGGTTAAGCAATTACACCTAAACCCTTAACCTTTAAATCCTATAGGGTTAATCGGTTTCGGTCTTTAGAGACATAATTCATATAATCAAATTACGGGTCAACTAAATTAAGGATTTCAGTCTTGATAGTTCAATGTCATTACTTGAACATGAAATATTTTTGAGTTGTTGGGAAACCTGACTGAATTACTTCATTTAAGCAACAATTACATTAATTCAACTATATATTTTTGAAAAGGGCGTTACTTCATTTATATAGTGAGTTTCATTTCATGGGATTACATTAATTAAGGGTTAATTAGATTCATGTGAATGAATTAAATTATTATCCCTCTAAAATAGTTTAATTGACGTACTTGGCACTTGACACTAAATAATACATGGGACGCATGAGTGTCCCAGCAGCTGTCCTTCATTGCTCATCAGTTCATAATCTGTTTGTTGTAAGTCATGCTTATTGGGGAATGTCTTCAGTCTTGCTTTAAGCTTTGCTTATATACTACCGGGTGATGTTATTCTATTTAAGTAGGACACACCTTCTAGAGTCTTGGTCTTATAAGCTTGCTTTGCTTATTGGGGGGGGGGGGGTGTTCGTTTATTCCCCACATCTTTGTGTGGGGTTCTTACTTTTGGGGCTGTCCCGCCTCCTCCTCCTCCTCCTTCGCCTCCTTCGCCTCCCCCCTCCCTCCCTCCCTCCCTCCCTCCTCCTCCCTCCTCCTCCTCTCCACCAACGCACCACACACCGTGTTACCACTGCACCAAGGCATGTCACACCATGACTGACATATATAGACACCACAACGTGCCGCACGCACACACACACACACCATGACTGACCACCAAGGCACCACACACCATGTTGCCACTGCACCAAGGCACCACACACTATGGTGAGCGAGTGAGTGAGTGAGTGCGTAAGTGTGAGTGAGTGAGTGAGTGAGTGAGTGAGTTGAGTGCGGGCTGTGTCCTTCGCCGCAGTTTTGCTTGAGTGAGGTGACAGCGTCAGGGCAGAGATCCAGCATGTCGTCAGCGAGCTGGGTGGCCCTGGACCGGTGCCGCGCGCGCCTTCGGGAACGTTGGCAGGCGCGACATTCAAGGGGCCCTACACCTGTGAAACGTTGGTGCGACAGAGGTGTCATTTGCGCTGGCCGGCGCAGCATTTAGGGGCCCTGGACCGGTGCCGCGCGCGCCTTCAGGAACGTTGGCAGGCGCGACAAAGGCGGCGTTTGCGCTGGCAGGCGCGGCATTTATGGGCCTGGGACGGGTGCCGCGCGCGCCGTTCGTCTTCTCCTCTTCGCCTGTTCCCCTCCTCTTTCCCAGGGATGCAGTAAGACTTTTTTGGGATTCGACAAAAACTAATTCAATTCAACAAAAAAGAAACTAAAGGACCCTCCTCGTCCCCGCTTCCCCGCCTCTTCCCTGGGTTTAGGCTCCTGTTCCCCTCCTCTTCACTTCTTATCCTCCTCTTCCCGGGAAGACGTGAAGAGCAGGGGAAGAGGAGATTGTTTAGCTTCATTATTGGTGTTTTAAACCGTTTTCTGTGTTTATCAGAATTGTTTTAGAAACCCAAACCCGTGGGAAGAGGAAGAGGAGATGTGTTTGGCTTTTGGGTTTTGTATATTTTTCCAAAACTCAAAAAGTCCTAAACCCCTGGAAACAGAAGGGGAAAAGGACACAAAACCTCAAACGATGAAGGCCCCAAGAGGCAGTCTTTAGGATGTGTAGATTTTGTGACTCAAACATTCTACAGATTCCAAAAAGTGAAGGCCTCAGCAAGGCGGCTGTTGAATTTTTTTGTTAGGAGTTTATGTGTGTTTTTTTAACAATTCGAAGATATCGAAGAAATGAAGGCCTCAGGAAGGTGGCTTTTAGTATTTTAAGAATTTTGGTGAAATGAGGACTTTTTCAAAACTCTAAAACTCCTCAAAAAGTTGATGGCCTTAGGAAGGCGGTGGAGC